ATACAAGTCAGTAAATAGATATTTTTCAAACAAAATCTTGGTGATCAGAATGTGTAAATCTATTACAAATAGAGATTGTCTGGGATTTTGAAGGACATATATAACATATATTCTGATAGGTGGACAATGATTCAGTGATACTAAACCCTTCTCATACAGTTCATGAAGCCTAATAAATAAATTCTTTTGTGCTTCATCATGGATATTACTCAGAAACATGTTGTTTTCGGGAATAAAGAAGTTAGGACAGACCCCCTCATAAACCCATTTTAGGATGAGTTTAAAACAGACCCAGAAACACTCCAGGAGATTTTGTGGAAACCAATCAGGTATTATATTTTGTTGAATAATCCAGAAAACTGCTGTCTTCATGTGATACGAACACGGTAATTTATTCTCATCACTTAATCCATGATTAATAGTCTCTTTTAAGAACAGTTTAAGCAGCCCATAGGTTAAGAATTGACAATGATTCATTGAGTAGACTAGCTTTTGTTCTGCCAAAGAGAAAGAAATTCTCCATTCTTTGTTGTGTGTTTTCCTAGTTTGTGTCCTATTGCTACAAAGTGGCATCCATTTCTGACTATGTCATCAACAATATAAGACGGGGGCCATGAGTGACATCTTTCTATCCATTTGGAGACAGGAGGGGGCCAAAAATCACAGGCAAAACAGTGGGAATGGTCATACTCTATTTCCCCGAAAACACCTATAACACCACTACCACACGGACCATGCTCCTTAGAATTAGGTATAACTAGTGAACATGTGATGTGTCTGTATTTGGAACTGGATATATAGAATCTGTCATTTATACTCATACATGCATTCTTTGAATATTTCCTGTTTGTTGGTGTCAATAATTCAAGTAAAGCAAATCCTGGTGGGCTTTCAGAACAATCACAGAGAATCAATGTTTTTCTATTTAAGTCGTACTTCTGAGCCTGATCTAAGTCCCATATCACCTTGTGGTCACTTGGCCAGTACATGTAGTCCACATCTGATCCCTGTAGCCCGAATCACTCTCTGTAACTCCCACTGGTCATTATCATGTCTTTTAATCTTGTTTTTCCTTCTTGATTCATCATCATGTCCCAGAAGTCCACCATCTCTCTTCTCATAATCACTGTCTCTGAGGACCCCAGTATGACACACAGTCCCACAAACACAGACTATTATATGTTCTGTATTCCCAATTCCCTGGACAAAACATGATTAATATAAGTAAAAATATGTAAAAATAAAAGTATTTTATTATCAAAGAGTCCGAGTTATATGAAGTTGTGTAATTATCTAGGCCAAAAAACATACATCATTGAAATGGTCCAACGCATCCCTTATTACACGTCCATAATTTTATATATCATTTGATAATAGAATATAAATATAACAATATAAACATATCTTTAGGCAGCTATGTAACTAGAAATGTGATTATAGAAAAAAAAATTGTGCGATTTCAATCCTATACGATTAAACCTTTACAGTGCTTCGGAAATATGGAAACTTCCTTTTTTTTTAATAATCCGATTTCATCAGTTAAACTTTGTTTTAGGTTTTCCCAATAACACAGTAACAGTCTCGTAAACAATTTCTTATTTCAAAGATCTAGATTTAATTTCCAAATATATATACAGCTCTCTTTACTGGATAAAAAAGCTCGAAAAATTTACTGAGTGATATGGTGGCATATTTTTGTTATCCACATAACTTTTTTTTACATAGCATATCATGCCAATTAAGTCAAGATACAATATCTCGTCAAGTTTTGATAACTGTCTGGTTTTTCGACAAACATCGACTTTATGCAGTATATCTCGTCAAGTTTTGATAACTATCTGGTTTTTCGACAAACATCGACCTTATATCTTGTGCAGTCAAGATATCACATTTCTTGACATGGTAACTTATCTTGCATCATGAAATAAAATAGCTGTTGCAAAAATACGATTGTTTATCTTGACTGGACAAGATAAAAAGTCGGCGTTTGTCGACAAACAAGAAAGTTACCATGACTTGACGAGATAGTTATCTTGATTTGACATGATCTGCTATGTTAACAAAAAAGTTATGTGGATGGCATAAATATCATTGCCACCATAGAGTGAATTGTCATTTATTGAAAATGAATATCAACAAGAGCTTATAAAAAAGTGTAGCTTGAGACAATGATGTGTAGACTACATCCCTTTTACCAAAATGGAATATACGCGAATGACTCCCAAACATATTATTATTATTATACGATTGAATATCTTTCTGATTGACTGAGATCCAAGTATATGTGAAAGAAATACTAGGTTATATTTAAGTGCACTTAAAATCATTTCAAATTGATACGACTGGTAAGGTTTATTTAGATTTTAATTCTGCTTCTCTATTGTATTTGGCTAGGACTTAATTAAACGCAAACAAGTAATAATGAGCTGTATCATTTTATCAGTGAATCATATAATAAAACAATTAATCATTGCGGTTTTTTCGGTCAATACATATTCTCTTTAGAGAAGTGGACAGGGTTTCCCCTACATCTGGACAGGCATTCGCCTACATCAATGGGTGCATGTAGGCGAAAGCCTGTCCACTTCTCTAGAAAGAGAATAGGTCAAACAATGATTTAGCCATCTTTGAAGTACAATAATCACCTCGCCCCTCGGGCTTGGTGAATATTGTACTCCTCAGATGGCTAAATCATTGTACTGACCCAAAAAGAAACAAAACAAAACAAAAAAAAACAGCAATAAATCCAATAATTGTATAATATCAGTGGCGTAGTCACAAACTTAAAAGTGGGGGGGGGGGGGGGGGGCTCAACTTCAGAAATTCTTTGACAAGCAAAAAAAAAGGGTTATTGGACGGTTTTAATGAGGGAGCACCAGCATATATACCGGTATTACCTAAGTTTTCTGTAGTATTCTATATATTCCCAACCCCCAATTCCAAAGCCTTAAGGCTGTGTGTGTTAAATAAAGTAATATTAAGATGTACAACATGTAATATCCATGGGCGAATACTGGATATGTAATACGGGGGTATGACAGGAAATAATATTAGTCATATCACACTTTGAATGGTGGGGCCTAGGGGGCGAAGCCCCTGGAAGCCCCTGAGTTTTCGTGTAATTTAATAGTAAAACCAGAAACAAAAATAGTGGCATCGTTTAGATATGTATCAAAGTATGGCATTAATAATATTAATCATATCATACTCTAAAAATTTTAAGGGTGTGCGTCCCTCACGCCCCCTTAAATCAGCCAGCCAAAGTGATATCAAACCCCTGTCTAAGCTGAATGAGAGGATTTCCAATATTGTTTTTAAAGTTGATTGACATTCATCACAGGTAAACCGAAATCAGAATCTCCAATTCTGCAGCTATCTTGTAGAAATTACTTATTTTGATGAGGTTTGGATTGACTAGAATTCTATAGTACATATATGTAAAAATAAAAGAGTGCTAATGAATCAGCAAAAGTAAATTATTAAAAATCCGGAGTTTGACAAAACTTACTTTTGACTATGTGTTATACAAGAAATTGGATACAGCAAATAAATAATGACTTTCAGATGTCAACACAAGGGGCAGCTTGTGATTCTCATTTAATTTTGTTAGATAACAGATGCTGAGAGAAACAGAAACGTCTAAACTCAAATTTATGACCCGCACTCCCTATCCCAAACTGGCGAACACAATTTAATTACTATATTACATTACTACATTATACAACTATTACTTAGTTGTTGAAAATAAAAAAAATGCCATAAAATGAGGTTTAATATTATTTCAACATAGCTGTGATTTTGTTCTTCATTAAAAAGTGGGGGGGGGGGGCACAGACATACTCTTGCCCCCCAGATCTGAAAGGGGGGGGGCAGTGTCTTCTAGCTATTCCCACTTTTTAAAAATCTCAGTTCCACCCATTCGTGCAAATAACAATAGATGTTTAGATTTACCTGTATTTTGTACATTTTAAGACAGAAAATAATGAATACATCTATGAGAAAATATTATTTATTTCGGATTTTTGAAATAATAATAAGATCTTACAAGAAAAAGCAACTTAAAACCTAAATTCAAGAACATAGTTAATTATTTGTTTACACAAAATTCCACCTATTCCCACATAAAATCTTACCTTTTCCTACATGATTTTCAAAAAGTGGGAATAGGTAGAATGAACCGGGGGGGGCGGGGGGGGGGGGGCAGCGGGGGCACTAGGACACACACAGGAATTTACAAATATTACTATCTGTATATGATGAATGACATCTAACCAGTTCAACGGCTAGGCTCAGTGTGCCCGATGTTAGTTCGTGAAAGCGGGAATTCAGTGAATGGGATTAAGTCATGTGACTGTCCGTCTAGTGTCTAAAAATAACAACAACCTCATTCACACAGTCTTTCATACCACATTCTCACATATACGCAGCGCAAGTATATAGCATTGAATGATAATACATAATATTTCCATTTCTATTTTTTTTCTCTCTGTGACAACTCTGTGACAACTACCGGAATGTAAATTAGGCAGGTCGATAGGTCGGGAGCTAAGGAGGCCTAATACGCATGCAATTCTCATGCGCATCTGTCTCTGTGTCTGACGCTAAGGAGGCCAAATATGCATGTAAATCTCGTGCGGCTGCCTTTGTGTTTGACGTCGGTTGGGGAGGACTATTGAAATTGGCATGGAAGTCATCATGTGATTTAAATCTATTTATCTACATTTTTAAAGTTTAAATCTACAATTTTATTTCACAATGAAATGGAAATATAAGAAATCACTGTCTAGTTAGGAGGGTATGTCAGGGACATCAACAATAGTGGGAAACATGGGATAATTTAAGCATAACGGGCTTCGCCCGTTATGCAAATTATCCCAGGTTTCCCACTATTGTTGATGCCCTGACATACCCTCCTAACTAGACAGTGATTCCTTAAATAACCCTGGTTACATACCCACTTCTCAAAAAAACGCGCGCAAAAAAGTATCCAAAAATAACTTGTCACGTTACTTGGTCACGTGACCTATATCACATGAACCTGTATCGAGATGGCGGTCGGTAGGAACATCTTTGCAGTTCTTTTGGTGAAAACAGGTTTGTTTATCTTTGTTTTGTTGAGAGACTTACAGATAGCAGTTGCACAAATATTTATTGAACTTTTCAAGCCATATTTTACCCTCTTTATGTCCATCTGACGGGATGTTCACGCGGAATAATCTAGCCTTTGAAAGAACCTGTTAGTCAAGTTGGGACCACTCGCCAAGATCAGGATGTAATATCCTCTTTTAGTTACAATGTATCCCAACTGGAATATAAATGTAAATTGCCACAAAAATTAAAATGAATGTTTTTTAAAATTAAAATAGTCTAGTGTAAATCCGCATAGAACATGTAGAAATTCATAAAAAAAAAAACCCTACATTTATTTATTTGGTTTAAGTTTTTCTGTACTCCAATTGCAGAAGATGCCGTTCTTCATTCTCACAGACAAGTGAAAATTCGTATTTAAAGCTTTTTATTTCTAAGACCTGACATTGGCAAGATAGGAAAAAGAAACAGACTTTAATTTTGTGAAGTTAAATAAATAAAATTAAATTGATCATGTTGACAGTCTAGACGAACTCCAAAAACGGCGTGAACTCCAAAAAAGAAGTCTTTGGCTCCGTCATGCATTGCGGCAAAATGGCTTCCGATGTAAACAAACGATGGATTGTCGTTCGCTTTCTCCACAAATACGACCGAATAATGGCTGTATTTAGTAAACTGTGACTGGATTTTAATTTTTGTTGAATAAATAATTGCACTTATTAAATTATTTAGTGGTTATTGACTTATTTATCGCTCTGTATTCTTGCATAATAGTGATTTGGGATATAGGACATCGGATTCAATAAAGTCGGTAAGAATTAATTTCCTAACTTAATTTATTGTCCCCTTGATTTAAATTTTATGCCATTCCTACTATAAAGATGCTTAAATTTTACTTCTAAGACACTTAGATCGTATTTATTTTATGAAAAACCACACAATTTTCGCGGCGGAGCAGAGATATTAACAGGTTCGTTTTGAGAAGACTTTTTTACCGTAATTTTAAAAGAATGGGTTTTTAAAGTTCTTAAACTGATAGATTATAATTCTAAAAATGTTTTCAGCTAAGATTATATCTGTTCATATGTGATAACATTAGGTAAATAGCGATGGTGATAATTCAGATGTCATACGGGATTATATGACGAAATAATATTACAAATGGGTATAACATTCAGTCAATTAGATTAACAGTTACATCATATATATTATATTGTTCAATTTAATATATTTTCCCTTTTATCATATATTTAATTCCCAAACGTTTATTTTTCTTTGTAATTGATCTAACTTGAAACGTGAACTTTTTTGAAAAAAGCAACCGAACGGAGGAAATGTGGAAACTGAATGGATTATCATGTAACTGTTACCTGATCGACTCTTATTTATGATTAAGACCATCAATTCATTACTTTTTTAATTATTGGTAAGATGTATTTACAATGCAGTTGCTCATTGCTGCTCTAAACATGCTGAAATTCATTCGTACACGAGAGACATGAAAGACAGAGGAAATTCGAACAACTGAAAATTCGTCAGCGTCCCTTACTTACAAAAAACTTCTAAAATCAGTAAAAGTAGTTCTAAAATGACTACTTAGTCACTGCAATCAAATTATCAACCACAGAGATGTTTTCATAAGATTAAGATTGTTTAATTTGTATTTTGTATACTACTTGTACGAGGTCTGGCTGAACCTCGAAGTTGGTCAACTTTGACTTGAAATTAAAAACTTTTTGCACATGAAATCAAAATTCTAACAAATACGTTCTATAAAACCATTTATTATTAATCATTTCTGAGAACTTACATCATTGTAAGGTAATCCAATTTTTTGCAAAAGCACTTTTTGTAAGAGCCCACTTTTCACGACTTTTCACTGTGTTTTGGTATAACTGCGCATGCGCGGGACTCGTTTTTTGGAGTCTTTTCTGGACTGAAATTCTCACTTCCGTTAATGCCGTTTTTGGAGTTCGTCTAGACTGGTTGATGAAGTGTTTTTATTCTAAACCTGACTTTGCACATTCTGATGATAGTGTAATTCCATAAAACAGATTAGAAGAAACGTATACTTATTATATGATGTTGAAATAGGACAAGGCCATGTGACACATCATGTGTTGTAATTTCATGTGACTATGAGCATGTAGAAATCTATGGCAACATCTTACACGTCTTAGTCATTTTACAAGGGGAGAAGATACGATGACATTAGCATGATTAGGTTTATTGTTATATTTTTATCTGGAAATTCTTAGAAATAATATGTCTTTTCACAAAAAAAAATTTTATGCAGGTCTCACAAAATCGCAGTTGCATGCATGAAATACCGTATAACTGGTTTTTAATGCAGGTGCAAATTTTTGCGATTTGATCCTGAAATAGGTATATTTATTTTTTGCGATTTTACTTTGACAATAAAGTCTATTTATTCTCTTGAACCAAAACCTGGGTCCCGTTACACATATTTCATTGAATTTTACTCTCTATCTCTCGAAGTTTTGATTGCATTGATTAATAATTGAAATGATTGATTGCATTGATTATAAACCAGTATAGCTAACACTGGAAATCAACAATCATACGATTATAAACCAGGGGAATCCTTAGTCAGGGAGGCTGCTAACACTTGCAATCAACAACAATAATTGTTTTTCAAATAAATAAAACAAATTCCTAAAGATTCAATATTTATTTGTTCCTATTTTTTTCAATCGTATAATTGTTGATTTCAAGTGTTAACATCCCTGGTTTATAATCGTATAATTGTTCATTTCCTGTTAGCAGCCTCCCTGACTAAGAATTAATGTCCCTGGTTTATAATTAATAATTGTTGATTTCAAGTGTTAACGTCCCTGGTTTATAATCGTATAATTGTTCATTTCCACTGTTAACGTCCTTGGTTTATAATCGTATAATTGTTGATTTCCAGTGTTAACGTCCTTGGTTTATAATCGTAATATTTTTGATATCCAGTGTTAGCGGCCTCCCTGACTAAGGAAGTCCCCTCCTGGGGCGATTCCTACTCAGTGGACGGTGTTCTACAGCTGCCTTACGCCGAGCTGAAGGAGCCGTTCAGAGCTTACTATGATGCAAAGAACAACCAAAGCCGCATTGACTACTACAATGGTAAGGGAAATTTATCATCTATAAACAAACTCTACTTACAAATTACGAGTAACACTTAAACAATAAAATGCTTTCTTTGTAAGCGGGTTTATGTTTTTCTGCAATTGCTGCAACGTTAAATCCCATACTAACAACCAAAGAAAGCATTTTAATGTTTATATTTACATCTTTACAAAAAAACATTCAAATTTAAATAAAAATTGTTAACTATTGCTTTTATAAGATGGAACAGCCATTGTTAAAAAAATTACATACGCGGCTTGCTCAGTGTTGTTCATGCATTGATTAATGACAATGGTCTTCATAAGAAATAAAGCATAAAAATATTCAGTGGGATAAAATTGAATTTTCAAAGATGAAAGGGAAAAAGAAATACATAGGTATTAACATACAGTATCATATATTTTTCCTTATGAAATCCGTTGGAAATCTAAGACATTCAAATCTCTATAACTCACAAACTTTGTCACTGTATGGTATAGTCCGAAAAATCTGACATTTTCCTGGCTTTTTTATGATTTTGATATTTTACATGCCAGGAAAACATATTCAGATTTTTCGGACTTTGTATGGTAGAGTACACAGTAAGATCTATCTGCATTTTCAATTACAAAACTGTGTGTTAATAATTATTTGTCATTTTTTTCCCTCGGAATTTTCATTTGCATGACTGGTATCAGACCAAATTAGTGGGGTATTACGGAGTCTTGATTTTAGTGATAAAGTATCAGTGTAGTAGTTAATAGTATATATATTTTTAGTTAACTTATATATTGACATTTCTTGCGACAGATTTAGTGATCACTATGCAGCTACAGACTCAGAACATCAGCATCAAAATAGCGTACATGACCACGGAAACAGTGACCAACCAGAAATCGTGTTTCCTTGTCAACGGGAGCTCTCCCATTCAAGCTGTCCTACCAGATTTATCAGACTTCAAGGTCGGTATAAAACAGGCCTAGCTAAAGTGAAAAACAAGGTGAAATTTATTGAATTAAGAAACATTCTAAGGATGGAAATCTAAAATTCTGGAAAATTTTGTGGAATTAATTACCGTACTGTGAAGAGAATATTTTCGAAAAACAAAATTATATATTGTAACAACTTTGAAAAAGTTATATATATATAACAATTTTTTTCATTTAAAGAATGTAGGACAAGATAAAATTGGCGCGACCACAACAGATAAATGGGTCAAGGTCACAAACCACGGAAAGAAGAAGAGCACATATACTATGTGGGTAGACTCGGCTACTAAAGCGCCTGTACGGTACGAGATGATGGGATACGACTCACTACTGGGATCTCATTACGACAAGTATTATCTCGACTACTCCAACTTTAAAAATGAGACGTCCTTCAATGCCACAGTGTTTAACTACACTTCATTTGGTAAGGATGGAGGGCTTAGTTTGTCAAGATTTCTTTGATTTGAGATTATTTATAATTATATCTGACTTAATTCTATCTTTATAGATTAAAAAAAATGGAATTTTGATCCTTTATTATAATTCATTTTACAATTATTTCCTGACAGTATTTTTGTATTTTCAAAATGATACATTTAAATGATTTGATTGAATTAGTATTTTAATATTTATTATCACAGTGACTATAAAATTATAAATTTTATGATTAGGTTTTGTATTTAAAAAAATGTAATTGCATGTTCATCAAATTCAATACATGGATAGAAAGATTGGATAGAGATATTCTTCTGTTTATTTATTTTTTTGGACTGTGCATGCAATGTGATCTTGAGAAACATATAAATTGCTTATTCTGTCCCCTCTGTCCCTCAGGTCACCCCTGCTCCGGTTTCCCCGGTCCTGGTTTAACCGAGAGGAAGGTCCTGATGAACCCAATGGTAGAGTACATTCATAACTACGACAACCACGTAGAGGAAATGTTTATCCAACACAAACAGAAGCATGCCCCGAAGTATAGCAGCATCAAGGAGCATGCTCAGAGACAGCATATCTTCAGACAAAACCTCAGGTAGGTGAAGTATGATAGATGACAGGGTTACTGGATTGTTGTTATTGGTTTTTAGATTTTTGGCCATACCTTGAATGTAGAGATGAACAGTTTGTCAGCACAACTCCTCATTTTAAATCGCTACACATAATTTTGTCAAACTTTGCACATATTTAGAACACAATGTGTAGATGTGCATACTGTCAAGAAATTCCAATTACTTTATTTTTTCCGGGATTTTCAGCACTTTTAGTTTGGGAGGAGCTTGGGGTATGTGAGCTTGCTCACTTTTTCTTTCATTGTAGGTTTTTGTTTTATACAGGTTTAGTGTGTTGCTGTTGACAGGTTGAATAACCAGCTTGCTGTTTACATCATTTTTTTTTTATATTATTGACAGGTTCTCTGAATTGCAACACTTAACTGGAATGAATATTGTATTTTAATACTGGTTTGTTGTTTACTTGGTCATTATTTACTGGGTTGATATTAACAGATTTACTTAGTTGCTGTTGTTTACAGATTGACTAGGTCATTATTTTCTGGTTTACAGGGTTGTTGTCAAAAGGTCGACATTTACATGTTTACTTTGTTATTATTTACAGGTTTATTCATTCTAAGAACCGAGCAGCCCTGGGCTTTAGTTTGGCAGTGAACCACCTGGCCGATAAATCAAAGGAGGAAATCCAATTAATGAATGGATATCACTACACTCCGGGGCACCATGGGGGTCTGGCCTTTGATACATCTAAATATAGCGCAAAGGACATACCCGATACAATGGACTGGAGGTTACATGGTAAGATGAAAGTACATGTGTACTGTTCTTATTGTAGGGTATTAAAGAAAAAGTAACTGGGATAGTACTATTTTGCACAATTATGTTTTATCATAATAGCTTTTTACTGTCAATATATATAACGTTATCATTTAAAAGCACATTCACAGAAATAAAATGTAACCAGAGTTCTAGATAAAATAAGCTTTTATACAGAAAGAAAATATTCCTCATTCTTATTTGGAAGAATCTCTTGATCCTTATTTTGGTTTTATTCCCTTCAACAATGTTTTTAAAGGAAAATTAGTTATATGATATTGTGTGAAATAAAACGTGATTTGCAGTATACTGTAAATTGGCAAATAATCACAATGGTTTTTATTTCACTATGTTCGCGATTTATCATTTTTCTGCGAAATTAAACCCACGGTGAATGCTTTTATTGGTTTAAATGTTTAAATGCTTATACGAAATTTGGATTGTTTTCTTGCATCGTGAAATTAAAACCAATGCAATTGGTACTTTTAGAAATATCATCAAATTTTGACACCGTGGAATTAAAACAACATACAGTATTTAAAGGTACTTGGACACAGATTTGAAGTCAATTTTTTCTGTATGATATCACGAATTATATATTTTAATAGCATTTCACACAAAAATTATTTAAAAATCTTGATTTATTAAAAAGATATGAAAACTTTTAATTTTTTGACGGGTTTGATTGATACATCCTTGCACTAGCTTTCACAAATTTTAACTTTATTCTTAATCCTTAGGAAAAGTGGCAATCTTGTTGTGTATTTAATATTGAGAAATATTAAAACTTAAATCCAGAAAAATAATTTTATTCAGAGTAGAAATGTTAGAAAGCAAAACTCTTTCACAAGTATCGTCATTCCGTTATGTACAGAGTTTAGCAAATTGAACACACTCGTGTTATGTACGCAGTTTTTGTAAACAAGGCAAGATCCTGTTATTGTTTAATGTTTACGATTCACCAGGTGCTTTTAAACGCCAAAGTCTGCTCACCACAACTACACGGACTGACAATATATTGTATGTTTGTTTTGCTTTCGAACATGTCTACTCTGAATTTTCTGGATTACAGTATTAATATTTTACATGAATACACAACAAGATTGCCATTTTTCCAAAGGATTAAGAATAAAATTAAAATTTGTGAAAGTGCAAGGACGTGTCAATCAAACCCGCCAAAAAAATAAAAATTTTAATAAAGTAGAAATGAAATAAGATTTTTATTTAATTTTTGTGTGAACTCCTATTAGAATATATAAGTCGTAATATTATAGAGAAAAAATTAACTTCAGATCTGTGTCCAAATACCTTTAAGCCATAGAACTTTAACTGCATCTCTTCTCTGTATTGAACCAGGGGCTGTAACTCCAGTGAAAGATCAGGCAGTGTGTGGATCGTGTTGGAGTTTTGGGACGACAGGAACCATAGAGGGGGCATACTTCCTTAAGGTAAGGGTGTGACAAGGCGGGGCATGAGGGAGGGGGTTACTGAAGAAAACACATACTTTCAGGTATGTGTGTTCCAAAAGTGTACCTGCTATCACATATTATTGTAACCAAGTTTGTATTAGAAAACAAGTTTTAACTTTTTCTATATGAAGTAAAGATAGGTATAGCCCTTCTATGTTATAATAAGTTCATTTGCATAGATTTTAGCCATAACTCATTTGTGTAAGAATTGTTTACAGACTGGTAACCTGGTGAGGTTGTCACAACAGCAGTTGATGGACTGTTCCTGGGGGGAAGGGAATAACGCTTGTGACGGAGGGGAAGATTTCCGAGCGTACGACTGGATCATGAAGAATGGAGGGCTGACTTCTGAGGAGCTGTATGGACCATACCTGGCTCAGGTAAAATACAGGTGTCAGGTCCACTTCAAAATTGGACAGTAGATTATTTTTCAAATTTTTTGCCCTCGGATTGAAAGATCCCAGGGATATATTGCTTTTGTCCTGTCTGTTGGTGTGGTTTTTAGCTCACCTAAGCCGAAGGCTCAATTGAGCTTTTCTGATCACATTTTGCCCGTCGTCCGTCCGTCTGTCTGTCTGTAAACTTTTCACATTTTTGACTTCTTCTCATGAACCACTGGGCCAATTTTGACCAAACTTGGTACAAAGCATCCTTGGGTGAAGGGGAATTAAAATTGTTAAAATGAAGGGCCAAGTCCCCTCACAAGGGGAGATAATCAAGAAAAGACAAAAATAGGGTGAGGTCATTAAAAAAATCTTCATCTCAAGAACCACTGGGCCAGAAGAGCTGAAACTTATGTGGAAGCATCCTGGGGAAGTGTAAATTCTAAATTGTTCAAAGCATGACCCCTGGGGAAAGGGCAGGGCCACAGTGGGGAAGCAAAGTTTTACATAGAAATATATAGGAAAATTCTTTGAAAATCTTTATATACCACTGGGCCAGAAAAAGCTTTTAAACTTACATGGAAGCATCCTGTAGTAGTGTAGATTCTAAATTGTTCAAATCATGACCCCCGGGGGTAGGGCGGGGCCACAATAGGGAATCAAAGGTTTACATAGAAATATATAGGAAAATTCTTCGAAAATCTTCTCCTCAAGAACCACTGGGCCAGAAAAGCTGAAACTTACATGGAAGCATCCTGTAGTAGTGTAGATTCTAAATTGTTCAAATCATGACCCCCGGGGGTAGGGCGGGGCCACAATAGGGAATCAAAGGTTTACATAGAAATATATAGGAAAATTCTTCGAAAATCTTCTCCTCAAGAACCACTGGGCAAGGAAAGCTGAAACTTGTGTGGAAGCATCCTGTAGTAGTGTAGATTCTAAATTGTTCAAATCATGACCCCCGGGGGTAGGGCGAGGCCACAATGGGGAATCAAAGTTTTACATAGAAATATATAGGAAAACTCTTTGAAAAACTTCCTTTCAAGAGCCAATGGGCCAGAAAAGCTGAAATTTATGTGCACATCGAAGCATCCTGGGGTATTGTATATTTCAAAATGTCTAAATCATGATCAGTGGGGTAGGGTGAGGTCGCAATATGTATTAAAATGGGGAAATCTGGTAAAGAACAGAATGGTCAAAGCTTCTCGGGTGAGCGATGTGGCCCATGGGCCTCTTGTTTAGCTCACCTGAGCCGAAGGGTCAAGTGAGCTTTTCTGATCACATTTTATCCGTCGTCCGTCCTTCAGTCTGTCCGTTCGTCTGTCTGTCTAGCTGTTTGTCCGTCTGTAAACTTTTCACATTTTTGACTTTTTCTCAAGAACCACTGGGCCAATTTTGACCAAACTTGGTACAAGGCATCCTTGGGTGAAGGGGAATTTAAATTGTTAAAATAATGGGCCAAGTCCCCTCACAAGGGGAGATAATCAAGAAAAGACAAAAATAGGATGGGGTCATTGAAAAATCTTCTCAAGAACCACTGGGTCAGAAAAGCTGAAACTTATGTGGAAGCATCCTAGGGTAGTGTAGATTCTAAATTGTTCAAATCATGACCCCCGGGGGAAGGGCGGGGCCACAATGGGGAATCAAAGTTTTACATAGAAATATATAGGAAAAATCTTTGAAAATCTTCTTCTCAAGAACCACTGGGCCCAAAATACTGAAACTTATGTGGAAAATCTTCTTCTCAAGAACTACTGGGCCCGAAAAACTGAAACTTATGTGGAAGCATTCTGGGGTAGTGTAGATTCCAAATTTTAAAAATCATGACCCCAGGGGGAAGGGTGGGGCCACAAATGGGAATCAAAATTTTACATAGAAATATATAGAGCAAATCTTTAAAAATCTTCTTCTCAAGAACCACTGGACCATAAAAGCTGAAACTCATGTGGAAGCATCCTTGGGTAGTGTAGATTTTAAATTGTTCAAATAATTACCCCTGGAGTAAGGGCGAGGCAACAATGGGGAATCAAAGTTTTACATAAAAATATATAGGAAAATCTTTGAAAATCTTCTTCTCAAGAACCACTGGGCCAGAAAAGATGAAACTTTTGTGGAAGAATCCTGGTGTAGTGTAGATTCTAAATTGCTCAAATCTTGACCCCCAGGGAAGGGCAAGGCCACAATTGGTAATCAAAGTTTTACATAGAAATATTTAGGAATATTCTTTGAAAATCTTCTTCTCAAGAACCACTGGGCCAGAAAAGCTGAAACTTATGTGCACATGGAAGGATCCTGGGGTAGTGTAGATTTCAAAATGTCTAAATTATGATCAGTGGGATAGGGTGGGGATGCATTATGTATTACATGGGGGGAATCTGGTAAAGAACAGAATGGTCAAAGCTTCTCAGGTGAGCGATGTGGCCCATGGGCCTCTTGTTATCGTCTGTCATTTCTTCCAACATGACCTTCCTTTGGGCAGTCTTCACGAAAACTCACTAGCCCGACGCCCGAGGCTAGTAAAAATTGGTCTGGGCTAGTAAAAATTGTTTCAGAAGTAGCCCGACTGGCTAGTGAAAAGTAAGCAGGTACTTTCAGAGTTTTGCTTTTAAATCTTAACCAATAAATAAAATAAAAGCACTGTAGTCCTATTCTTCAGAAAACTGCCTCATCTAACTCACGTAGCACTACTTAATAGTTTATTTTTCCATTAAAACGATCGTCTTTTTTTATCTAATCCGAATTTCCTCTGTTCGATCTTTTACGGTAAATACATGCAGAAATCCCATTGAATTAGGTCTATGATTTACTCATTTAATTGAAGAGCAAAGGATTACATCAGTTAACTATGTTAACTGTTATCCAAATTTATAACGTATCTGCTCGGGCAAAGTCTCGAGAGCGAGAGTCTGGGGTAAACGAGACTAGAAAAAAAAAAAATCACTTTTTTGGAAGAGAAGTCTAATGACCAGAAAAGGGGCTAATTAATGTACAATACATGTACATTATCAAAAAGCTAAAAAAAAAAAAAAATAATAATAAAGAAAAACTTGTTTGTTCAAATTAATTTAATCTTTATTAATGAAAACTTATTTATTTATGATTCAAATGAGGGGGAAAACAAAATAATTAAGCAGAAGAAATACAAAAGAAAAGGAATTCAGTATGAAATTTAAATGGAATAGGGTCACGATACAACAGTTAATTCTGCAATTTCATTTTTTTTTTTGTTGGCTATTAAAAATTTCTTTGGGCTAGTAATACTGTCAAATCCACTAGCCCTATTGGCTAGTGTCTCAGAAAAGTTTTCGTGAAGACTGTTTGGGTACAAACACTTTTGACCTTTGGAGTTTGACATGCTGCCATATGGGGCATCAGTTTTTAACTAACACATCTCTCTCTCTTTTTTTGTTTGTTTGACAAATTATTTCTCATGTTTGAGAAACCTTTAGGGTCCTTTGACTGACATGATCTTGCCCTTTAATAACTTTATAGATGTTCTGTATTTTTTTGCTAAACTCATTATAAAACAGATGAATTAATATATTTTTTTAATCCAAAATACTCGTGTTCTAGTCAGATTCCCATTCCTTGGATTAGATTCCTGTATTAAAACTATAAATTTAGCCTGCATTTTTTCTAACTGTAGGACGGCAAGTGTAACAAAACAATCACGCCTGTTGCCAAGTTGAAGAATTACGTGAATGTGACGAGCGGAGATCTCCAGGCGCTGAAGTTTGCCATCGCTCACCAAGGCCCCATTTCTGTCTCTATTGATGCCTCCCATCTCTCGCTCTCCTTCTACGCTAATGGAGTCTACTATGAGCCACAGTGTGGTATGTTTTCTGTGTATGTTAATTTACTACAGGTTTTTTTTTTTAAACATGGCATATTTTGAAGCATACTGTAAAATCACATATTTTTGTGGGGTCAAATTTTTAAGTTTGAGGAAAAAATATTGGTTTGTGGGGATTTTAATTTCGTGGTTGGAAAACTGTGTAGAAGTAATGCATATCAAATTTTAGATTTCATGGTGGTCATAAGATTTACATTCAGAATGCTAACCTTCCAAGGATGTTTTGTTTATTTTAGGTAACAAACCAGATGACCTTGACCATGCTGTTTTGGCCGTGGGATACGGAGTAATGAATGGACAAGCTTACTGGCTGATCAAGAACTCCTGGTCCACGTACTGGGGTAACGACGGCTACGTCTTGATGTCACAGAAAGATAACAATTGTGGCGTGGCCACTGATCCAACATTTGTCCTCATGTAAAAGTTACCCCCCCTACCAACACACACAAAGACACCCTCACCCTCAGACACACAAACACTCTGAAAGATAACAATTGTGATGTGGCCACCGATCCAACCTTTGTTCTCATGCAAAACATCTAAAAACCAGAATTCTTACATGGACAGTACATCTGAACATGTGAAACATCGACAAAATTCTCATTCCAACAAGACGTGCCAAAGTGTGCCAGGCAGTTTTGTTACATGTATGACACTCCAATTTATGAATTTGTCATAGGGACCTTACAATGTTCAAGATTATTGAAGTAATCTAAATTTACGTCATTTACTAAAGGGTGACATTTAAAAGTTAGTTTCAGGAATTTTTAATATTGTTCTGTATCAATTTATTTTTATATTATTTACAAACCCTCAATACTGCAAATGTTTCAAATTATATTTTCCATGTACAATATTTTGTGGTAAATTGTTATTCAAAAAGTAAGCATGAATTGCTAAATGTGTGTTACATACTTGTAGACATTATATACAAAACATTTAGCTGTAGTATGTACTTTATTTGGTGGATAGTGCTTTTTGTGAAGTGGCTAAATAGAATACACCCCAAAAAGTGTTAAATTTTTTAAGTTACCTATTGTCTCTTCATTCCAAGCTGTAGGTTTATTTATAGTTAGTTGTACATTTATTACATGATATGTTCCTGTGAATGTTAACTGCAAGGATCTTTATACCCACAGTTAATATATTGTGTAAATGTGCCATGCTTTCTGTATTTTTATCCGATTACATTTGTGCTTTACTTACAGTTGGTCTGTGTTATTTCTAAAGTTTTCTATTTTGATAAAATTACTTTAAGAGTTTTCTGTAAAATGAATATTGAGAATAAACAGTAATCAATCAGTTAAGCTGTTAAACTCTCTTGAAATTGTGTAGTCGCTGGCATTTTGATCTCTGTACACTATGGCAAATTGACAACATACCAGTTAATAATCAGCATTTGATATACAGTCAATTCTCGAATTATCGCCATTCGATTCATCGCCATTTTCGCAATACCGCCATGATTTCCCAAGAACGTTTTTCCTGCTATATAAAATTCTCTTTATAATGCCAAATTCGCATACCGCCATCCGCCACCCTGTTTTCAAAACAAACGTCCATTTTTAAGTGTCAATTATCTCGATATACCGCCACAGGTGCGTGTGGTCAGTGAAGCGCGGCTAATTGGTTGACACTATCCCTGTTGTAAAGCATGCAAAGGCAGACAAGGTACATGCAATTAAGTAATTACACAAGAACTAAATAAACAATAATTTTAACATGAACTGTTATAATAATTTTGTTTTCTGTGTAATAAAATTCATTTAGTCACGGCATTGCCACGAAAGCGGTCGTTGTTAAAGTACGCCGATAACTATATTATTGAGATGATCTCTGCTTTAAACAATGTAAAGTTTGCTGAAAAAATAACTATCATTAATGATTATACGGTATAAATTGTGAATGTTTAATTAACAATGTTGCCATAAACAATACATTTATTCAAGAATTCATTTTACTTACTATCGGCAATATATCACGACGATCGACCCAGCATGTTTTTTTTTTTTTTCAATAGCAGAACTGCAGATTTAAATGCACACCCATGTACTTGTATTTATTTCATAACTGCACATATTGTTTTTAGCGAATTTGTACATTAAATTAAAAAAAATTACTTAAAGTATTTTCAATCAGAAATATGTTTTTATATATACATGTACATGTAATGATAAGAATAGGAACGCTAAATGACATTTCTAAGAACGGTAACTCTACTTCTTGTTTTCCAGAAGATGGAAAATTCAATTCATCACCAAATTCGTTATACCGCCATGATTTCTAAATTACAAAAGGTGGCGGTTTATCGAGAATTAACTGTATCAGGCAATATAACAAATGTTGACTTCTTGTTCAAAATTATAAGCTACACTTTCATTTCATGCAGTTGTTCACACTGCAGGCATTTTTTTCTGACAGGCTGATAGTTCGGCCCTATAGGCAGGTGCTTGCTAAGAAACTTAATGCACACTTCTTCCTTCTTTGGTTGTATATGGTTAAGATTGGTTTGACATATAAAAGAAAACTAAAACACAAGTTTAAACTGCAGCAATTTTTTATCACAGAAAATTGGGATAATAAAACAAAGTGCTGCGAAACACTCCTAGCGCAGCAGATGGTACATTAACACTAACCAATTAAACAACGGAGTTCAAAAGTAAAAATAATGTCACATACAACTGTTCTAAATACTGTTAATACAGAAGTCCCAGACATGGCTTGTGTCTAGACAAATCTGGACTGAATTACAAAGTCAATTTTGTCCAGTCTACAAATAAATAATGGTAGAAAGACATTCCTTAAATCCAGCTTACTTTCGTTTTAAAGTATTAATACATAAATACATAACAAGAACTATTGAATTTAACACTCGTATGAAAGACATAGCCATATTGTTAAAATCACTTCTCAATCTTCAAGTGTTAGTCACATGATCAATGAATTTTTAATTTCTAGAAAAAAATGTTATCTCGGTAAAAATAAAAGCAAAGTTTTTTAATGTAACCATGGAAACCAGAAGGCTCCATTTCTTAAGATGACTGACTAGAATGACTAATGAGAGGTAACCTATATAAATAAATAAATTGATTGTGTCAACTATCAGCAAAAAAAATAAATATCAAAAAGGGAGACCACTCAGTATTTGTCTCGGGGATGCCACCGTGTGAAGACGTCCTATTGCTTGGTAATGTGTTCCTATAGAAATACTGACACATCCTCCTGAGAAATCCAAGGTCAAAGCAACAAAGAAGAGCTTTATAAAACACATTCTCACAAATGTTTTATTCTATGTGAAGTCTTCATTATAACAAGCGGCTCAATGTTTTGAGTCCTGTCTTCACGTGTAGTTTTATTTCTATGGCACAGTTCGTGGGAGAGCAGTTTGTAGCGGGGCTACATCTTGAGGTATGTCTGGAATGAATATCTAAATGTCTGAGCAACTCAAAAATGGGGTCATGACTGGTCACTAACGGGACACTGTCCTCTACGTGATATCACCATGGAGACACTGTGACCCTCACAAGTCATTGCTATGACAATGTGTGTATATCTGACCAACACATCTTGACAGCAGGTAACTGTTGTCCATGGCAACACCTCTAAATGGCATGATAAATGTGTTGTCCCCTGTCAATGATAGCCAGTTCTGTCACACACCGTGTAGGTGTACAGAAGCGGGGCGTTGTATTGAGGGCCGTCCCTCACCGGCCCACGGTGCTCCGTCCCCGGGCGTTACCCCGAGTCGACCCCCACGTTAATGGTGACCACCCCATTCCCCTCCCCCTCCTCTTCCTCGATGAAGTTAAAGTGGGAGTTCTCTGTGGGCGTGTGAGAGAAGCTGGGTGAGGGTGAGATGGAGATCTGACTTTGGTACCAGTCTCGGTTATACTCCAGTGTGTCCAGGATGTGCTGAGCATCGGGGTACACTAAATCTGCCCAGGTCTCCCACAGCGGGTGGACGATGTAGTCGATAAAACCCACCTACAACAGAAAAGTATAATACAATAGTACATAAACAATAGAAAATAAAGAAATATGTCAAAAATTTAAAGAAGTTCCATCATAATGATATTTGTCAGGTTTATTTAATTTGAATTCTTTTTTTTTGTTTCCATCCTTCAAATTTTTACTTAATTTCCTGTATGAAGGTATCCAAGACATATCTATTTTTTCTAACTATGTGTACTATAATATACACTGTACTTATGTTGTACTTATATGTATATGTACATTATAATGTCTGGGTTATACCTGTGTTTTCTCTATGGTGGCTGTGTGACGGTCACACATGGGGCTGATGTCCAGGTTCCTCTCGCGCTCCATGTCCCCCTGGTGGAAGAATTCCTTCATCAGCCGTGTGACCCACTTCTGGTAAATGTCCAGAGGTTTAGTGGGGTTTCCCAGGTCTGAGCAGTGGACCATGTTCTGTAAGACCTGTTAAAGCAGGGGAAAACATTCAGGTTTACTGGTGGCTTTAATTTGAATTTTACGTCAAAGTAGTTGAAGTATTTGTAACATAGACATCAGAATATGTACATTTACATTTTATTAGGTATTCATCAAGTTTAAAATAGAGTAATGCAAAAGTAGAAATACAGGTGTTATACCAAGGACAATGAGTGGTCTTTATATTGTACAATAACAAAGCACCAGGTATAACATCTCTGTTTCTTTTTAGTATTTTACATCTCATGCAGTTTAGACCTTAGTTCACAATGTCTATATCATAAAACAGATCTCTAGATACCTTTCTACATATTTACAGTTAACATGGGTGTCTGACACACGACACCTGTCCAGTTTACAGGTAAATACACCTGTCCAGTTTACAGGTAACTAGCTGTGTAGTTGTCCAGTAGTATTAGTTACACCTGTACAGTTTACAGCTGTCTTACCTGGATGCGGTCAGTATAGTTGTCCAGCAGTAACACCCCTGAGCCGGCCACTTTCTTGCTTTCCACCATAGTTTTTAGATCAGCCAATAAGCTCATGTGTTTAGACATATCTGTAGCCAGGACCTTAATAATAAAACAGAAATGTCAACCTCAGCTTTATTATTCTTTATTAGATGATTTCTTTCAAGTTATTTCTCATACCACTGCAATATTTTTTGCATTATTGTTTTATTGATTTGATATTTTTATTCAATCTCTTACCATATCAATTGTCATTTTGCGAAGCGTTTGACGTTGTTTTTTGGAGAGATTGACAAAAATATCACAGTTTTCCTCTTGCAGAAGCTTGAAAGCGACGGCTAAATGATGATTCTCCAGGACTGACTCATCGTTATACATCAGGGCCAACTCCGAGCCTTACAAAAAAAAAATCAGTTGGTTAATACAATCGTTATACATCAGGGCCAACTCCGAACCTTACAAAAACAAATCAGTAACGTGAGGCATTTTATTCTTGATATTTCTTTTACGAGACCCCACATAATGAACTGAACTTTAAAGGAGATAGAAAACTTTAAAATTATGTTGCATGGAAGACTTAAGAGTTATGTTGCATGCAAGACAAATTTGAAGGCAATGAAAACTCGCTAGATATATTTCCAAGATACATACATATATAATAAAGGATATAAGAAAAGTAATTTTATAAAGAGGAGACTAGCTAAAATTTTCAAGAGAAATCTGAGATGAAACTCTCCGTCTTTATGAGATATTGGTAGTTATTTGTGTAATCTCTTGAAAGAGAGCTACTGTAACTGAGATGGAATACAAGTTCCTGTATTGATGATGTGTGAGTCCTGGATGGTGTGTGATAGCTTGAGAGATAGCTACTAAGATGTGAGATAGTACCTGTGTTTATGAGATACTGATTTGTGAGTCCTGGATGGTGAGATAGTTACCGGTATTTATGAGATACTGATTTGTGAGATAGTTACCTGTGTTTATGAGATACTGATTTGTGAGTCCTGGATGGTGAGATAGTTACCTGTGTTTATGAGATACTGATTTGTGAGATAGTTACCTGTATTTATGAGATAGTTACCTGTGTTTATGAGATACTGATTTATGAGATAGTTACCTGTGTTTATGAGATACTGATTTGTGAGATAGTTACCTGTGTTTATGAGATACTGATTTGTGAGATAGTTACCTGTATTTATGAGATACTGATTTGTGAGATAGTTACCTGTGTTTATGAGATACTGATTTGTGAGATAGTTACCTGTGTTTATGAGATACTGATTTGTGAGATAATTACCTGTGTTTATGAGATACTGATTTGTGAGATAGTTACCTGTGTTTATGAGATACTGATTTGTGAGTCGTGGATGGTGAGATAGTTACCTGTACTTATGAGATACTGAATTGTGAGATAGTTACCTGTGTTTATGAGATACTGATTTGTGAGATAGTTACCTGTGTTTATGAGATACTGATTTGTGAGATAGTTACCTCTATTTATGAGATACTGATTAGTGAGATAGTTACCTGTATTTATGAGATACTGATTTGTGAGATAGTTACCTGTGTTTATGAGATACTGATTAGTGAGATAGTTACCTGTGTTTATGAGATACTGATTTGTGAGATAGTTACCTGTGTTTATGAGATACTGATTTATGAGATAGTTACCTGTGTTTATGAGATACTGATTTGTGAGATAGTTACCTCTATTTATGAGATACTGATTAGTGAGATAGTTACCTGTATTTATGAGATACTGATTTGTGAGATAGTTACCTGTGTTTATGAGATACTGATTTGTGAGATAGTTACCTGTACTTATGAGATACTGATTTGTGAGATAGTTACCTGTGTTTATGAGATACTGATTTATGAGATAGTTACCTGTGTTTATGAGATACTGATTTGTGAGATAGTTACCTGTATTTATGAGATACTGATTTATGAGATAGTTACCTGTATTTATGAGATACTGATTTGTGAGATAGTTACCTGTGTTTATGAGATACTGAATTGTGAGATAGTTACCTGTATTTATGAGATACTGATTTGTGAGATAGTTACCTGTATTTATGAGATACTGATTTGTGAGATAGTTACCTGTGTTTATGAGATACTGATTTGTGAGATAGTTACCTGTATTTATGAGATACTGATTTGTGACATAGTTACCTGTGTTTATGAGATACTGATTTGTGAGATAGTTACCTGTGTTTATGAGATACTGATTTGTGAGATAGTTACCTGTATTTATGAGATACTGATTAGTGAGATAGTTACCTGTGTTTATGAGATACTGATTTGTGAGATAGTTACCTGTGTTTATGAGATACTGATTTATGAGATAGTTACCTGTGTTTCTGAGATACTGATTTGTGAGATAGTTACCTGTGTTTATGAGATACTGATTTGTGAGATAGTTACCTGTATTTATGAGATACTGATTTGTGAGATAATTACCTGTGTTTATGAGATAGTTACCTGTGTTTATGAGATACTGATTAGTGAGATAGTTACCTGTATTTATGAGATACTGATTTATGAGATAGTTACCTGTGTTTATGAGATACTGATTTGTGAGATAGTTACCTGTATTTATGAGATACTGATTAGTGAGATAGTTACCTGTGTTTATGAGATACTGATTTGTGAGATAGTTACCTGTATTTATGAGATACTGATTTGTGAGATAGTTACCTGTGTTTATGAGATACTGATTTGTGAGATAGTTACCTGTATTTATGAGATACTGATTTGTGAGATAGTTACCTGTATTTATGAGATACTGATTTGTGAGATAGTTACCTGTATTTATGAGATACTGATTTGTGAGATAGTTACCTGTGTTTATGAGATACTGATTTGTGAGATAGTTACCTGTATTATGAGATACTGATTTGTGAGATAGTTACCTGTGTTTATGAGATACTGATTTGTGAGATAGTTACCTGTGTTTATGAGATACTGATTTGTGAGATAGTTACCTGTGTTTATGAGATACTGATTTGTGAGATAGTTACCTGTGTTTATGAGATACTGATTAGTGAGATAGTTACCTGTGTTTATGAGATACTGATTAGTGAGATAGTTACCTGTGTTTATGAGATACTGATTTGTGAGATAGTTACCTGTATTTATGAGATACTGATTTATGAGATAGTTACCTGTATTTATGAGATACTGATTAGTGAGATAGTTACCTGTGTTTATGAGATACTGATTTGTGAGTCCTGGATGGTCCACATCATGTATAGCACAGGCAAATATTGCTGCTAATATCTCGAGATCAGTGAAGACATTCTACAAGATAAAAAAAAAAAAGAAATGAAAAAGTGAATAAACCAATCAGCTCAGTTATTTATAAAACGAATTGTTTTTGTAGAGGAATCCCGTTTTTGATGGATGAGGTGATCGACTGCTTAATCATTCAGATTCAATTTCCACCGAAGGCCAAGAAAAATCAATTTCTTCCACTCTGAAGAAGTGATAGTTTAGTATAACTTAACCAGTTCCCAGAGCTTAGGCCATGTTTCTGAGTTATCATTTTTCATGCGTTTGGGAGTTATTGATCTAGAATCAAGTTATTGTGCAGCACAGATGAGCTGTCACTTTCCTTTTTTGGGAAATCATCTAAATAGCTAGCAAAACTTTAAGACTACTGAGAAGTGTGGCAGATTAAAAGGGGTCAAATTTTAGCACTGTGATGTTGATTTTAATACATGACTAATCATCTTCTGTTTTAAAATCTTTGGAGCCCCTCTCCCTGATGATGCTACGTACCTCCAGGGCCTGAGCGTTAAGTAGTACATGCGTTGACTGCGTGACGTCAGCTGCGTGCTCGGCGTTGTGGTACGGGTTGTCGCGGTGATAATGATCCTCCAGGTGTGTTAGATACGTCAGCAGTGTTTGCGCGGGAATATTAAACGTCTTCAATAAGTTTCGCTCCTGAAAGAAGGTAATCACCAAACTGGTCAACAAAGATACTGCAAATTGTTTAACAATACATGGGATGTGTAAGATGCCATGTAAAATAGCACCATTGTATTAATAGTGGTAAGATAATCTAAAAACAGGCTCATGGGCCACAACACTTGCATGAATTGACAACAAAATTAAAGTTTAATGCAAATGAATTCAACAATTTTCTCCTTTTAACATACTTATGTGCTGGAAATTTCATATCAATAATGTAGAGCTGACCAATATACCTGTAATATTTTAAAGGTAACAGTAATTAATACCTGTAATATTGTGTTATTAACAGTAACATACCTGTAATATTGTGTAGGTAATACAGGTTAACGATCTGTTGTTGGAAAACTCTGCTACTTTTATCACATCCATTCCCCATTTGTTAATGTCTGCCAAGTGCTGCAAAACGAAAACAGGGAGGATTATAAAAATTTGATAAACTTGATATTTTGTACTTCATATCATATGTGGCACATTTCATATTTGGTGCAAAAGGATCTGTACTGGAATATGAATTCAGAAAATTTTTAATGTTTTAAAGACTTAAGATTTTGAGCCTTCCCCCTAAGGCGTTTTTTTCAGACTCTGCTCTAAGAATCTCTTGATATCTGTCATCACACTTTCACACCTCCCCTGTAAGTTTTCTACTCCTGTAAATTTGGACACCTTCCCTACCTTTCCTAGTTCCTCTGAGTGACTAGTTTCCACCCCATACTTTGACACCTCCCCTGTAAGTTTTCTACTCCTGTACATTTTGACACCCTCCCTACCTTTCCCAGTTCCTCTGATTGACTGGTTTCCACTCCATACTTTGGCACTGTGGTGTAACTGTTCGTATGTTTCAGTTTTCGAACCCCTGTGATTTTAGTCATGGGTGATGATTTCTCAGCAGTTTTATTATTTTGCTCTGCGTTAACCTGAGGTATGTCCAAATCCTGTTGCTTATCTAAAAATAAACCAGTTATGGATCTAATAATGATAAATTAATTAAGTCATAAAATTATCTTTAAAAATAAATTAGTCATAGATCTTATAACGATACGAATTATATTCCTTTTTTTTACTTTACATGATTTCACAAAATCCTGCCTTCAAAATGCTTAACAGAAGTAATCATGTTAAATAACCAGAAGTCTCTGTCGAGACTGTAGCTCTACTGGTTTGTACTTATCAAAAACCATTGCACTATTTTATGTATCTTTGTGTAGTCTACTTGTGTGCCAACTTATTTTGAAATCAAACTAAAACTGTAGAAGGAGAAGCGTTTTAAAGGAATTTCACAGAAAATTCTTTTTTTAGTAACCATGGTAACACCGTTCACCGAAATCAAAACCGATGCACTATTCTATGTATCTTAGTGTAGTCTACTTGTGTGCCAAGTTATATTGGAATCAGACCAAAACTGTAGAAGGAGTAGCGTTTTAAAGGAATTTCACAGAAAATTCTATTTTTAGTAACCATGGCAACACCGTTCATCGAAATTAAAAAACGATGCACTATTCTATATATCATAGTGTAGTCTACTTGTGTGCCAAGTTATATTGAAATCAGACCAAAACTGTAGAAGGAGTAGCGTTTTAAAGGAATTTCACAGAAAATTCTATTTTTAGTAACCATGGCAACACCATTCACCGAAATTAAAAACAGATGCACTATTCTATGTATCTTAGTGTAGTCTACTTGTGTGCCAAGTTATATTGAAATCAGACCAAAACTGTAGGAGGAGTAGCGTTTTAAAGGAATTTCATAGAAAATTCTATTTTTAGTAACCATGGCAACACCGTTCATCGAAATCAAAAACCGATGCACTATTCTATGTATCTTAGTGTAGTCTACTTGTGTGCCAAGTTATATTGAAATCAGACCAAAACTGTAGAAGGAGAAGCGTTTTTAAGGAATTTCACAGAAAATTCTATTTTTAGTAACCATGGCAACACCGTTCATAGAAATTAAAAACCGATGCACTATTCTATGTATCTAAGTGTAGTCTACTTGTGTGCCAAGTAATATTGAAATCAGACTAAAATTGTAGGAGGAGTAGCGTTTTGAAAAATTGTTTACAGACAGACGCAGACAGACAGACAGACAGACAGACAGACAGACAGACGGACGGACGCCGGACGCATTACTATCGCATAAGCTCTTCTGGTCTCTGACCAGTAGAGCTAAAAATTACGTGTCTGATAAGCAAACCTTTTAGATCCAATTTGAAGTTATATTTTACTCATTATCTTGCTACGTAAGTAATTTTAATTGATATGGTCTCTTTGATGTTTAAGTATACATACCTAGATATGTGTTACAAATAAACTCGGCGATCTGATTCCCTGATTTACTCGACTCTCGGAAAGAACTCAGTTCTCTGTTTAACATTCGTTTGAACTGAAATTAAGATAAAGGTTTTTAATGACACCATAAATCAGATTTGAATACTAATTTCAAGAAGATAATGTTCTGACTTTCAGCAATAAGAAAATAATATCAAAGACTAGTGTAAGAGCTAGTAATTAAGAGTAACTTTACTACTACATGTACAATGTCATGCATATAGTAAAATATGGAATCTTTCTCCCTTTTCTGCATGTCATCAGTTTTAACAAGGTTTTCAACAAGCAGATGAGGCATGTTAACAGTTGAAGGTTAGATGTTGATAATACAATTGAAGTTTAGATGTTGATAACACAAATGCTCAGTTTGAAATTCATTTACTTGGTTTCAGTTTCTGTACGACCAATGATCATACTTTAACAGAAGACCTTACTGTATATTGTGTTATCTTCATCCTTTAACACTTGTAAAAAATTTTGAAAATCACTCAATCACAGTTATATTTAAGAAATAATACTATGTTCTATGAAATCGACCTGTTTTAAATTTGTCTACCTGTGAGAAGTGCGAAATGGGCAAAAATAAAACGTGGGTAAATATTGCCCAGAATGCAGTATTTCGTACCTTGCTGGAGGCCATGTCACTGACAGACCGATGAGTCTGCATCGTTTCCAGCTGGTCTAAGCACCAATCAAGTTCCTCCAATGTCTCCATCGCAAGCTGAGAGTAGCTCTCGTCTGAAATGGAGAAAAACAAACACTTCAAATACTGTATATACTGTTTATGTATCCTTCAACAAAAAAATTTGTCCATATAGAGCAAAATATGTCTGAACTCTGCATGAAAAAAATTAAAATAAATTGTACATGTAGTATCAACTTAGTAAAATAACAAAAACTCATATGCTGATACAGTAATATACACTACAGAAAAAAATAATATATTGTAATTCACTCACCGGTAAAATAAAATTCTTTGCTTGACTAAAATTAACTATGAATATTCATACACCGATGAATACTCATAGAACAGAAACACAGGCCTTTAGATCGCTTACAAAAAAAATGAGGTGTTGAAAATTTTTTTTACACACAATTTTATTTTTAAGCGATCCAAATTAAGGCCTGTGAACAGAAATGTAGGAAAACTGTAGAACTCCTTGGCAACTATGTGTGTTATAGAGAGTTACTGCTACTGTTTTGTTCTATATTGTCCAAGTATATCGTAAGTTGAAGGTCTTTTTTAATTAACAACAGGATATTATTATTTACACAGTCTGATACTTTCAGGGACAAATACAGGAAAGTATAGATATCAATAAAAACAATCAGTGGGTAGAACTCTCCGTGTGAACAGGGCACAAGTCAAGGTGGTGTTGGGTGGTGCTGTTATGTACATGTCCTTGAGGTGGCTCTGATCATATGTAGGCTAAGGTGGTGTTATCATTGATCTCTTCTAAAAGTTGTGATGGCTTCTTGATTTGGGTGGTGCTTTTATTTACCTGCCTTCAAACGTGGCTGTGGTGGTTTATAAGTTTTGTTGGGATTATTTTTGTTTTAAAGGTGGATGTGATGGTATGTTTGGGTGGTGCCATGTTATTTACCTGTTTTTAAGGTGGCTGTACTGGAGTGAGAAGACTGAGGAACTGTGTTTGATTTCCCACCTGTGCCAGACCTGAAAATAAAATGTTCTTTTAATCAAATGTCTCTTTTTTACATCTAACAGTTGTTTTCCAAACTTCAATCCTTAACAAATTGTGTTTCAAATGCAAAACAATGTCACATCTTCGTTATAAATTACTGATAAAGTAGGTGAAAGTCATCCATGTAAATACTGTAAAAGTACTTTTTTCCGCGTGGTATTAATTCACGCTATGTACGTGGTCACAAATTTTCCGCGGAAATTTGTCCAAGCGTACTTAATATAAATGTAAGGCATATAGTGACAATCTAGAAATTCCTCGTAATTTTCTACATGCGGATTAAACAGAAATTGAGATTCCGCGGAATTATGAACCCGTGGAAAAAAGTACGTCTACAGTAGATAGAAGGATGTAAATACACTTTATTACTTTTTTTTTGCATTGCACTTTGTAATAAATCACATCAAATTTTCATACTGCTTCAACACATGGGGACATTATTGAATTTGGATGTACACATTGTGTGATATATATGACACATTTCAACAACCACAAAAAAGACGTTACATAATGGTTTAGAAGAAATCATAAACTGCGACTTAACCTAAAATACCACGAAAATTTTTATATTCTACTTATTGAGTTGGAAAATTACCAGGAATAGACAGCTTAAATTAAGCAGTAAAATAACAAGAAATAGTTTCTATGTGCAGTAAAACTGATTCTGATTTTATGACATGTTGGAAGGTAAACCAATCAGGCTGTTTGACGTGTGTATCCCAGGGATAAGTTTAAATGTCATTACCACTGTACGCTATAATCCTGTGATTACAATAAAATGTTGGAAAATCCCTTTAAATGATCAAATGTTTCCACATTGTGATGAGTGCAGAGGTCAGGACTGCATATTGAAGGCAGAGTCAATTTCTCCAGATATTACGATTTTATATTTGTTTTGCAGGAAGAACCAATGGATTTTGGAAACTCTAAAAAGGGGGGCCCTTCTTTGAGGACACATTGAAATTATACTGTAGGGTTAATGCTTACAAGGGGCATTTCCATTTACTAGGGAAACAATACAGCTAACTTCTTAACAGTCACTACTCAACAGTGCAAAAAAGAAAAATTCAAAATCTCTAATGGTGGTACTAAATGGGAGGTATATAGGCAAACTTTAAAGTTCAAGATTATCAATCTGATTCTTAAAAAGTGGAAGAAACTGATTGTGTCACATGACAAAGGATGGAAAATCTCTCCGTAATCACATTCAATTACTCCGTCTTGTCTGTAACGTAAAAATCAATACACGCCAAAAATCTAGATAATGGGATCTCCTTTGAAATGCAGTCGTATTTAAATCGTAAATGCATGAAGAAGTTGCACAGTTAATAAACTGATAACAAAGGGCTTCCTTAAGTGCCCCCAGTTCTTCTGATCATGCACTAGCTTACATCAGCGATGCATTCTCATAAATTTGTTGTATACTCTGAGAAATTCTTAGAACAGATCTGTTATCTACGACATGGCCCTTAATACCAACCAAGTCTTTTGTATCGAGGGTGGGGTATATTAAATATTAAACACTAGTACACTTACTACACTAATAGGGTCAGGCGGTCAGGCACTTTGTCAATGATTCCATTAAACTGTATGGTGTAGATTTGAGTTTGGTAAATATATAACCTCGGTTTAACTTAGGAATATACGTGCTCCACAATTTCAGATCTGTTGCTCATTCATATTAGAACCCTACTAGCATCCTAAGTGAGTTTTGTAAAGTATAAAATCCTGTCACTGCAGTTCTAATGGTCTGCTTAAGTAACAGGATTTTCAAGTTCCTTTGACTTCACTTTTAACCAAAATCAATGTCCTTGCATGCAAACCTCACATAACCAATGATGTGCAAAAAAAGATATCACTTTGAGACACTGAGCTTCAGTTCCATTAGAAAGAACAGTATGATGGACAGAAAAACAAATTAAGGTAACGAAAATCAAACAGTTTCAGAAAAGTGCATAAATATATATATTTTACGTGAGGGCCGAGTTTCTTTCAGTATCATCAGAGAATTCCTCAGATCTTCTTCCCTACATCTATCTGACTGTTATCAATTCATAGATTTACGTAATGCCAGATGTCTTTTACGAGGGGACTTGAAAAGTCAATTGTACACCATTTCCTTTAAACAGTTTCTGTTAGTTTTGATGATGCAACACTCATCTAATGAGGTGTGTGATATTACATCGATTCCGAGTCATATAAAAGAGAACTTGATCTGTCAATGTAGGCCCTTGTTTTGCTTGTCGGAAGTTCTGAGGAGTTCTGAAGGCTTCGTCAACTATAACTTTACCCGGCAGACAGGAAAATCATATCAAGTATATGTATCACCCAAGCGCTAGAGCGAGCTCTCCATCAGAATAAAAGAAAGAAATTTGGACTTTTTTCTTAAAACAAAATTAGATTATCAGTCTTTATCTCAATATATTGTATATGTATTTTTTTTTAGAGTTGATAATTTCTTTAAACAAAATAATTTTCACAAAGATTTACACCTGGTGTTTTATGAATAAACATGTTTACATCTATAAGTTCAACATTTACTTTTACCTAGCTAGCATCTTAAAAGTCTATCTCTGAGGGGGGATTTGTTGGATATTCTAAAAATATTTAAATCATTTTCCTCCTTACAAGGCATCCTTGGTAAATATGACTGACTGTGGGCAAAGGTCTTGTAAACAACTCCTATGATATATTTTATGTCATAGACCTATTGATTTGTTCAGAGGAGTACTATTTTGTACTATAAGCATTTGTTTAAGAGGTAGCAACATGTTGCCAAATTGTGCTCCATTTATAGGAACAAAATGTTAATTCACTACACAACATATCTTGAGAATTATTGTAAAATTTGTAGATAAAATCAATACACCCATGCACTCCACTAAGTGTTTGTGAAACACATGGTGGTCCCTGGAAATGTTTTTACTAAGTCCTATTTTGATTTCCCTAGAAAAAATTCCAAAATTACCTCCCTTGTTAAGGGGCATAACTCTCTCACTACAGAAATTGTAATGGAAATTTTGTTTAAAAAAACCCTGAAATTATTCTACTAAACATTATTTTTGCCCAAAGTAAGATTCACTCATCTCACTTGCAACCCATCTCATTTGTCTAGTAGTAGATGTTAAAAAAAAAGAGGGGGGGGAGCAAAAACTTCACTAGCTTTGGTGAACAAAACAAAATGAGACTCGCTATAATCTTCCAATGTGGGGAATAAATACACAATTATTCTAAAAGAATTGACCTTGAAAATGTCAAATCAATGTAACCTTGCTGCTGTTAGCAGGTTAATTTAATGTCTCTCTAACTATTGTCATTATTATGATAATTTGGTGCATAATTTTGTTTTCTGTATTAAAGTTGACATTGGAGCAATCTGCTACATAAAAACAAAAAATCCTGCGAGTGAATGTATCTTTTTTTTAAGCCAGAGTGTTGCTGATAACAAAATTTAAAATCACCAAGGTCAAAAATTCCACTAAGAATCTCCCAAGAAGTAGGAGATCTTTAAAATAAATGTACATTGTATGTTAAACAGTGATGATGGTCTGAAGCCAAAACTACGCAATTATATTAAACTGTGATAGAGACCTGCAATGACAGGACTATACACATCTCATGCATACTACAGTAGATTAAAAGGAGACAACAGAAAAGTGGAAGATCTGGAATCTGTGACTATTTAGTGAAGATTGGTTAGATGTACGTACCTTTCTCTGGAAGTGTTGGTCAGCATTACATAGTTATTGCGTACACTCCTCAAGCTAGCCAAGATCTGAGCAAATGGCGTCACTATCAAATCATCTGCATGTCTGGAATGGAAACAAGAAGAAAATTTAACATTACGTCGGCGGCCCTTAAACGACGGACGCAGATATTTGGCGATTTTCTGCATTGTGTCAGTGTGTGTGAGAAGCTTTCAGAAACACTCCGATTCTCGACCGGTTAATCAATATACTCACAAAATCCCCTACACCACTGGGCACCGCGTGGTATCCCAATTTATAATCAAAACAGAAAACTGGTACTGACATATTAGAAACTGACGACAAGTCCATCTACAGCCTTAACATTTTATTGCAACAAATTAATTAATGAGATCCGATTCTGACAGAATTTTACATCAGAAAAACAGATTACTTAACCGTTTTACGAAACTGCATCTGAATCAAACTTATATAACTACAGGATTTAGACTCATAGAACTAATTCGTCCCTTCTCCCCTCCCTAAACTTTAACTTTCTAGCTAATGCTAGAAACAAATGGTTATTTGATACAAAAAGAATATTGTACAGTTATTGATTTGGAGGCTGTGTGTGGAGATGACACGATTTACTTGCCGACCACTGAATTAAGTCAGGCCTGAATAATGGGCTCCTTACATGCAGAAATGTTTGGGAGACATCGATTTCTCGTGATATAAATTACTCTACCCTCCCTATCAATAGCTGATCTGGTGACATTTAAAATCAATGGAAAAATTCAATTTGAAAAATTATATCAACTGTAATTAACTCTGGCAAAGGGAAAAAAAATAGTCATTAAAGAGTTTTGGCAAATTGAGATGCAGGAAACAGCACATAGTATACTGCAATGTGTGCAACTTCAAACAGCCTATTTTATTGCCAGTTTTCACTTACTCTGTAGAACTCTTCAGAAATTGGAGGTACACAAATATAGTTTCTAGTAACTCTCCATCATAATTGAATAATTCTGTATACATCTCCAAAACTGATCTGAATCCGACACTTCTAACAGGAGAAAAGTTCTTAGCTAGTACACAGGAGCTAAGTAAAAATCACTGGAATGTCTTTCTTATACATCAAACCTTTATAATTTTGTCAATTGAATTCCCGTATTAAGATTTATGAAAACTATAAGGAAAAGGGGGAGGGAGTAATAATTTTGATGTGTCATCCATCACCATGGTGACAGTTTGGTAAATCAAAAGCGAGACCACAGTGAGAAGAAATGTACGACTGCTCGGGATGGATTCCTGGAAGTTTGTCACGTTGGTTTAGTTCAGTGAATGCCTGGATATTCATCACACACCTTGCTATGTTATGACAGATAGTCCTTGGCACAGTGCACTCTGGCATTCCAATAATTTTACTTTTACGAGGTGAATTTTCCAATTTTTTTTTACATGAAATACCAGAAAGCGACTGTCATTAAGCCCCTTATGATGGGTTGTCAAGCCTCTGTGATTGTGTTGACAAATGGTTGACCTGAAATGAACTGTTCATTTCATATCCGCATTACTTAGCGACACTTTAACGAGCCAAGTATTTACCTTTCGCCATTATTGGGTCTTCAAACCCTTCATTTCTCCCACTGCCTCTAATGGTAAATATATCTCTCTATATAAAGCTATGTCTTTTAAAACCTAAGTGGCAGAAGCCTTGACTCTCTTTTTAAGAAAAAATATAAATATCTATATAAAATTATTTCGGGTGTTAAAGCTAAGGTGCAATACTGTAAATCGTTTTAATTCCACGGCATTAAAAGTTCACGATATCTCAAAAAGTACCATTTGCGATGGTTTTAATTTCACGCTGCAAGAAATTAATTCAAAATTTCGTATAAGCAATTTAACATTATTAAAAACTTTTAATAACAATCATGATGGATTTAATTTTGCGGAAAATTAATAAATCGTGAACATAGCGAAATTAAAACCATCGTGAATATTTGCCGATCTACAGTATAATTTTGTGACAGATTCTTCATGTTCTGAGAACTCCTTCTTTAAAACTTTCTCCAACTCTCTGCATGTTTACTGAGGACAAATAAATCATAACATCAATAAAATAAACTGCGATCACCACTGATTTGTTGAGAAGGTACAGAGTAAGACCTTAATGTTTACCCAGCTCATCACTATACTACAGAACACCGCCAAGTGTCAAATCCATATCAATTTATCTTGCCTTTTTTTCTTTAAAAAAAAAAAGCTGCATTGATTTTTTCATTATGTCGTATTTAATCATTGAACATGCTCCATGTTGCTGTTCAAACAAAGAGTTGATTGTCGGCCACTGTTTGAGGACATGCACACATCTTATTAACATGTCTTCTTTTCCAGGTCTAGGAATATAGGTCAATGACATTACGTTTAAAAAAGACCTTTTACAATATGGCTAGGATTGTTTCTGAACATTTCTGAACAAGTTTCACATGACAAGCAACTCAGAGCTTGTATGAACAGCTATTAATTTAATTCACAAGTCCACCGCTGTGTAAGGTAAAGGCAAAAAACTCTGCATGATACTGTGAGACTCTTGCCTTCAAAGATTTAAATTATTAGTGTCATACACGGATATATTTAACGTCAAGTTGTTTGAAGTTAAATTTCTGTCATTATTATGTATAATTCACTGGATATCTCTCCAGGTTTTAACGGACAGCAATTTAGATTAGATCCTTATAATGATTTAAAGATGACAGGCCTGCAATACATTACACTGGCAAATGTTTAAGAGTCTCAAATGTTGAAATCATTTAAAAGGGACATATGATTTGACCGAACATTTCTTTAAATATCATGTAAGTTATACATAATTGAATCTTTTATAAAGCCATGTTGGATTTTTTATGCATCTCAGTTCTTACATCTCAATTTGCTATTTAATTTTGAACATATCCCTCAATATTTTCAAGGTCAAATCCTCAAGGTCAGATCAATAGTACAACACATGGTCACTTCTGACCTTTCAAACTGTCCAGGAAGTGCATAAAGTCGTAGTTAAGTAAGATTTATTGACCTTAAGTCTTACAAACGGTCATGTATCACTCTACAATTGATAGACAAACTTTATTTATCCCCAGCTTTATGAGAGGCCTGAGCCTTACATTAGGAACTGTCTTGTGTAGAAATGGACCGTTCTATTGTTGGGGTAAATTAAACGATCTACAAATCACTTTGTAACTTAGAATGAGCCAATCACTACAAAGCTTCACAAATGGATCAGCCAGGAAAGTATTAACACACATTTGTCATCAATATTCTGTTTCTCCTGAATTTAAGAGAATATGATTGAGGCTCATCTTTATATGCAGCACTGTTAAAAAAAAGAAATAAAAAATGCCTTTCTTAAATTACTACTACTGTAGATATGAAACTTTTCTTTGTGACACCTTATTTTCACAAGATCATTGTTTGATATTTATCAGTGAACCAAATTTTCACTGTAATTTTGATTGTTGCTCTATGTTATGCTCTATACATGTATAATGTTTTATAATAGAATTAAATGGATAATAAAAAATTTTTTTGCAAACTGATGATCCCACATAATAATGCAAAGAATATAAAAAAAAATTTAAAAAAAACATTTACAGTAAATAAACATGACTGATTTACCATGAAGTGCAGATGTATGTACTTTAGATCAATTTGCCTGATCTTTGCTCTATTTAATAATTGATTAAGTTAAATAGAAACAGGTGTGCTTGTTTGAATAACATTTTTAAGCTGAGTCTGACAGCCTTTTTCATCTTGAATTCTTTTTTTTTTTGTAAAAGAACTATATGCGGTATATTGCATATGTTTGCCCCCACAAAAGTCAAATTTTGAAAACTTCCTGAAATGTGCTGAATTCAATAAATTGTACGAGAAATATAAGTTAACAGAAAATATTATAGTTCCAGAGCAGTGTATTCACAATTTCTGTTTTTATGACGTCACAAACTAGTCCGATTTTATATCCTTTTTCAGAAAGAGGACAAAATGGACAAAATTTCAACAATTTAAGCTTTAAAATTTATAGAGCGCATGTGTGTTCAGGAACAATATTGACATATTTCATTGATATTATCATTCTACACATTATATCAAAATATTTATCCTGAACACACATGCGCTCGGTGACTTTTATTTAAAATATCGACGAAATATGTACATTTTTCTGCAAAATTCATAAAAAACTGAAATTACGCCATATTTGTGACGTCATTACGTACATATGACGTCATTACTTATGAAATTATTCAGTGCTTTGAAGTCAGCTTATACTCCCCTGTTTAAGGACTTAATTAAATGTTACTCCATCAAAGTTTGATTTTGGGGGGCAAATGTTGGTTAATACCGCATATAGTTCTTTAAACACACACATACGAAAAAAAATCTTTCTATTGTTTTATAATAAATTCATTTTATTACAATGTATCAAGGTTTGGATATGCAGGCAGAAAAAAAGGTAATTAAATTAAATGACAGTATACTGGGTCCTATTGATATTAGTTTGTTAATATTTAGGTGAATGGCAACTTAAATGCCCTTGAAATTAAGAATGAATCCTCCACACAGCTAAGTCCTGAACTTTATAGGTTTCCATTACTTTCCTTTATAGAAATATTATTTATGATCCTAGAAATCTTATCAGGACACAGATAAATATTTAATCTTCCAGGTCACCAGAAAGCTTTAAATCTGTTATAAATGACGCCAATAAATGAACTTGTGCCGCAATATTAACTTCGTTAAAAAGCAATTTATTTCCCTCTTTTTACCCATCATAAATCTGTAAGTATTTTTTATCCAAACAAGACACTGTGATTTCTAACTGTTAACTTACACAGTAAAATCTGTTAAACATAGATAATAATAATACTTAAGTATTATAGTTTTACTTCTCTTGAAGGAAAAAATAATGTTCAAGTGACAGATGACATAATCAACTTATAGATTAATTGTAGAGGTTTGTATTACTGTAATGAAATAAATGTTTGCTGTCATTCCATTTCAACAGGTTTCACTGGGAACTGTAGGGGATACTTAAATAAAGGTGTGTTCGATGTCTTCACTATAAG